CCACCCTAACCATCCCACCCTAACCATCCCACCCTAACCAGGCCTCACTCTGACTGCACACGTGCCCTTGGTTCCACTGTGCCTGGTGCTTCCGGTCCTGACTCAGTTACTGCCGTCTGAGTGACTGGCTGGCTGGTGCTTCCCTGGTTCCCTCAGCTGAGGGGCCCTCTCGTATGAATGTCTTGCCTCTTGCGGCAAGGAGACTTAGGAAGGGTGGCCCTGGGCATCTTTTCCAGAATTCTGTCTGCTTTTCATTTTTAGATTTACAGAATATAGTGGAATGAGAAACAGTGGTTGCAAGGAGTATGTCACACTTGATTTGGAATGATTGTGGTTTGTAGCATGGGTCCGAAAGAATTATAGCAAAAAAGCACAAACTGCCTAGATTCTGAATCGTTGTTGGTGAGGACAGGTTGTCTGGGCCCGTTCAGCCTACGATTTCCCATTTGCACAAAAGTAACTATTATACCCACTTCATTGTACTGTGGTTATGAAGAGTAAATAAATACTGTGTGTGAAGTCCGATACGCGTGGAGCAGTCAGTAAATATTAACTACCATTACTTGGATCAGCGGCTTTTGAACTTCAGCTTATAGAAAGTGGGTAGACTCTTGAGGTTTGTATCTGTATATATACAAATGTACTTAAAATTTTATGGCTTTTCCAGGTGAAATTCACAATAATGACTGTCAGCTTTATCTCTAAATGTAATCTATCTAATCTCACAGATGATGAAAAAGGCTCAGAAACTCCACTTACCCAAGGTCATAAAATCAAGTAAAAGGAATGATTTTTTCAAAAGATATTTTAATGAAATCGTGTCATTTTCCATTTATTATGGACTGAATTATCAAGGGTAATTTAATAATCTGCACTATGTACATAAAACTGTGTTTGGTACCTGCAGAGAATATGTAACCAAGGAAAACGTGTGCAAATTAGTGTAAAGCTGATCTCATTACATCCCTTTTTACCTTTCTGAAGTTATTTTCCTGATAGGAGATACAACAGTATTTTACTGAGTTTACAGATTTTAATTCTTACTTTGGTGCTTATAGGTGGAATATGGTATCTTTTATGTTCTGCCCCTAAAACAGTGCACAATTTACTGGGAAGACATTTTTGTTCAGTGTTTTCATGAGAATGCTGTTGTTCTAGAATTTAATATATTATGGCCTAATAGCATAAGAAAATTAGTAAAATAGTTCAATGATTTTGAAATTTTGAGCTTTGAAAATTAAATATTACTTTCCTTTTTCACCTTAGGGCACAGTCAGTGGTGTGCTGCTGGTTACACCAAACAATATCATGTTTGATCCACATAAAACTGACCCTTTGGTCCAAGAGAACGGCTGTGAGGAGTACGGCATCATGTGTCCAATGGAGGAGGTGATGTCCGCCGCCATGTACAGAGACATTCTGGACAGCAAAATAAAGGAGTCTTTACCCATGTAAGGATAGTGTTTATCCTCAGCTGTGCTTGATTGCGTCTGGAGAGTTGGCCCTGCTCTGATACTCAGCTGTTTTTAGTAGTTTTATTACAGCCATTTTTCATTTGGTCAGTAATGAAACAAGAAATATATGCAGTAATAAAAGATTATTCTTTTTTATTTTTTATTTTTTTTTAGTTTTTCTTCAGTACTGGGAACCGAACTCACGACCTTGCACTTGCCAGGCAGGCGCTTTTGCTGTTGAGCTAAATCCCCAGCCCCCAAAAGATTATTCTTAATGCATTTAGAATACCTGGGACTTATTTGGAATTTATATATCTGTTTTTGGTTAGAGAACCAGATAGTTGGAAAGTAATTACCAGTGTTTGCTGGCCCTTTGTTTAGGTGCATCGTTAAGAATTATAACCTGCTTGCTTCTAATCATTGTGAAAGATAGTTCTCAGGTTTTTCTCAGAAATTCTTCAAGGGTGAGGTGTAGACCTGACATTGCTATAGCCAGCATAGTTATATCTTTTAAAGAATTGATTTATGTGTATTCTCTCTTCTGCCCTAGAAAAGTATACAATACAAGGTAGAAAACCCACAAGCTGCACTAAGGTGAAGCGTTAACCTTGGAATACTCTGGTCAGGGGATTTGTGTGATAAGGTAACACAGGTGTGAGGCATCCGATTGGGCAGGTCCTTTGGAAGTAGTATGCTTCACCACACTAATGACCCGAGGGAGAAGAAGAAATAAGAAATAAAAGATAAAAGTTAAATATAAGTATGCCAAGGGGGTGTGAGCAGGAGGAATTGGTGTGTAACCGGAAAGAGCTTCCCTGTTTCTCCAAGTGTGATTCTGTTAACTTACGGGGATGTTGCTGGCTACTGTAAAATTAACTCTTGGAAAGAAGAATCTACAAATGAGAAAGGAGAAAATTCTATTCTTTTTGTCTCTGAGGAAGATTATATGGGTATTTAGGATACCTGCGATACAATAAAATTCTTTACTGCAAAAGTCTCTATTATACCTTCCAAACAACAGACATTATTTTGACTTCATAAGCTATAGCTTATAGCCCTGGATAATTCCTCGTGATAGCCCCTGATAATTCCTAGAAGGTGTCATTGTCCTCTGCTATTTGTTATAGTTATGAATCGTTATCCACAGCCAGTTTGAGCAAATCAAGATTATTGAGGGCTAATGAAGGGGGGGTGGGACTCAGGAGAAAGAGAGGATGAGGGGTGAGACTGAAAGAGGGGTATGCAGCATCGGCCAGTGCCCCTTCCCCGCTTGTGTGACTGTGTCCGGGGAGCTCTTCTTCTGGGCTGTCTGCAGCTGTTCTCAGGACAGCGTAGCTCTCCTTCCCGTTTAATCAGTTCCGTTAGTGTCACCAGGACAGATTGTGCGTTGCATCTAAACCTTAAAAATTCCTTCAGAAGGAAACATTTTTAAATACTGCCTTATAGGATAATTAAAACAGTATTTTTCACCAAATCTGATAAATAAAATAAATGGTTTTTCAGAGCAGTGTTTGGTGTGGAAAGAATGAGGTAAAAAATTTGGAAAGTTGATTTCAAAGCTATTTTGTGCAACTATATTGAACAGTAGCAACATTGTTAGCATAAATGTTTAGCCTTTGAACATATTAATTTTGAAATGTACAGTGCTTACGTAAACATATATCCTAAGTTTCAGACAGAATTTCCCAGAATATGTTGCTTATTGAAACCACCTAAGGATGCAGTTTGAGCGAATCACCAGTAGATGACACCATGGCATATTAAATAACATGAATTAGACGCTTGTATGAAAAGATGAATCCAATACAAAGGCAGCAGGAATAGGAGTTGGGCTTCAACCAAATAACATTTTAAAAACAAATTTTACACATCCTTGTTATAGAAATTACACATGCTTGTTACAGAATATTTGAAAAATCTAAAATAGCGAAACAGAAAAAGAGTTATCCAGTTTCATTGTCCCGAGAAAGCCGGTTATTTTTGCGTTGCTGTATTTTGCAGTCTTTTCTGTGCAGGATATTTTTCCTTGGTCTTCCAGCTGTAAATGCACGAAGGTTAAAACTTTCTGCAGTGAGAATTCATGCAGTTTCCATTTGTCACAGAATACTTGGAACCATCATTCTGCATTATTGACTTGTGCTTCGTAACACAGGTGTTAATGCTGCTGCTTTCTAGAATGTAAGCCGTAGCCTGTGAACACTAGTGCTTACCTAAGCGTATGGCACTTATGATAGAAATCTAGACCCAGTTAAGAACCATGTACACTTATTCTTTACCTGTATTCTTCAGTTGCACAAGTTCTCTTGAAGCCATTATTAAGGGTGGTTGTTAGTGTGTGTGCACCCTGGAAATGTGTTTGCTTCAGTTCTGTTAGTTTGCATTCAGCCCTTGCTTGTGAGCCAGTGTCCTGGCTCGATCGCTATTTGAATGTAAATAAGCACTGTGCATGTTTGTATGATATTATATTTTTTACTACAAGATTTAAAATGTTAATGGAAAATGTCTCTTAAATTTATTTTCTACATTCCATCAATGAGTAAATTGCAGTTTAAAATTAAAACTTCATTCAGAATTTCAGTCATCAGATTTTCTTTGAGTAGATTACCTGCAAGGAAATCTTACATTGATATTTTCCAAATCTTGAGCTGTTGATGTAAAAGTTTGACTTCTTCTAGTGGAGTAGGTCACATATATTCTGTGTACTCTGTGTTTTTCAGAAGCCTTTTCAATAATGTTAGTGCAGTATTCAACTTGTGGAAAGTAAAATAGTACAATTTTTAAAGTCTAACCATGTTTAATTTTAATGCAGAGAAATAGACCTGTTATCAGGAAGGGACTTCTGCCATTCAAAGGATGCAACAGGAATGAATACCGAGGAGGTAGACTCAAGAACTCGCGATGCAGGTAACGACAGTGCCAGCACGGCTCCGAGGAGCACCGAGGAGTCTCTCTCTGAGGATGTGTTCACGGAGGCAGAGCTCTCTCCCATCCGAGAGGAGGGAGTCTCTTCGGATAAGTCATCTGGGGCGTCCTCAGAATCCGTACAAACTGTCAGTCAGCCTGGGGTGGTAGGGTTGACAGCCCAGTCAGAGTCTAGTAGTCCTTCTCATTTAAAAGCCAACACTGGACATTCTGCCAAAGGAGCTGGGACTGCATCTCATGAAACGGATTTAAGTCATCTTGAAATGGCTGCTCAGGATGGAAATCAGGGGACAGGTAACCTTCAGGAAGCATTAGGCCCTACGGAGCCAAGCCCAAGTGTAAAAGGTCGTGCAGACCAGGATCCTTCTCCTCATGAGAGTGCCCTACAGCAAGATGGAGGTGGGAAAGAAACCGTGCCTTGTGGAGAAACAGCAGAATTTAAACAAAGGCAAACCATTAACAAAGGCCAGGAAGGAAAGGAACAAAGTCAGGACTCAGAGGTTGAGGAGCTGCGCAAACTCTGGAAAACCCACACCATGCAGCAAACTAAACAGCACAGGGAAAACATTCAGCAGGTGTCGCAAAAAGAAATTCAGCATAAAATTGCATCTGCTGATGGACATGTAGAAGGTAAGTGTTAAGGGGTTCATTTTATGAATGCGGGAGTTCATTTTATTCACCAACTCTGAAGCCGCTGTGTCCGAGCCAGTCTGAAGGATAACCCCGTGGAGGTGCTAGGGTGAGTGCCTCAGGGACCTGCGCTTTGCTCCTCCCACAGAGGTGTGCACTAATCGCCACCTCTTCTTCCATGCTGAAACATTCTCACCTCCTGCGTTCTCCCTTTCAGTTGTCCCTTGAAAGTGCACACAAGCTGTGTGTCTTTCATGACTGTTTTCCGTTTTAGTATTTGGTTTGTCTTTTATGGTTGCATATATAATGTTCTAATTGCACTTTATAACTGTCAAAGTTGTATTCCACCTTTTTGTTTTTGAAAGTACAGGTGGATGTAAAAATCTGTTTCTAGAGTTCTTCCAAGTACCCAGGAGTTCTGTCATCACCTGATGTTTTCCTTAAAAGCAAACATTCGGGGTCAATAGGAAATGTTCTTCTCTTTTAGTTGTTTTATGGTTCTAGTTAATATGAAAATTATAGTAATAAGCTAGCTTTTATTTCTCATATACTGTGCTTCTTCCTTAATATGTTATGGGTTAAGTAGACCATAGCTCAAGTAGCTTAGCAAACATTTCTTATGTTCATTCTGTTAGAGTTTGATCCTAGATCAATTCAATTTGCATATGCATTTTTCTTTTAATTCAAAAAATTTTATTGAGGTAAAATATAATGGAAGAAAATAACATTTTGACTTCTTTAATTTTTTTTTTTTTTTTTTAGAAGAGAATATATTTATTGAGGGAAAGAAAGCTTCTATCCAAGAGAGGGACAGAAGGGGGCCGAGGGGGTTGCCAAGGACCCTGCCTTTTCTGGGGACTTTATAGAGCAAAACCACGAGGTGAGGCGGGTCCAAGATAGGGGAAAAATGGGAAATTATAAGGTGGGCATGAGGTGGGACAAAACTATGGTCAGCCAATAAGATTACGAGTATAACTGTTCAGGTAAAATTGAGTAAACTGGGATCAAATGGGGAAGCAAGTCAAGTAGATTCTTGTAGGGTGTTGGGCTAGTGACTCTTCCTGGCTTTTTGAAGGTGATGGCTGCCTATTTGGAATATCAATCCCTGATGTTCACTCCTAGGGAGGTATGTGGGTGCATTTGTTTAGTCCTTTGTCTTGAGGTCTGGCCCACAGCAAATATGTCTCCATTCACAAGGTATCTTGTCTTTCATGTTGGCTCCTTGAGGGCCTGGTCCTGTCTGACTGCCTATAATATTTCTATCTAACTCAGCAGCCTATAACACTCCCCCCTCTGAAGAAGTAACCTGAACTGCCGAACTGTTGTGAGGGAATAATGGGCGATGACCGCTCTGGCTTTTTTAGGCTGAAAGGGGTCATAGTTGTTGATCGACAGTCAGAGATTCTCTCCAGAGGGTCTATCCAAAGGCCCTTGATAAACACCAGGCATATTTATCTTGTTTAGGCATATAGCTTTAAATCCTCAGCAGCAGTCTCTGGTTCCCAAAGTTTGAGTCTGGTGTGATGTATCCAAGAGTCTAGGCCTGTTGTCTTGACCGCTGAAGCACTTGACAGGATCATGGTGTATGGTCTTTCCCAAGTTGGTCCCCAAAAGATGTGGACTATCCCTGAACCCTTGGGGAAGCACTGTCCATGTCATTTGAGAGACCTGGTCATGAGGATCCTCAAAAGCAAAGAGACACTGGGAATCTCTGCATTCCATTTTGGTTCTAGGGGATAGGTAGGCTGTGCACACATGCAGAAAAATATTAAATGGCTCTTTTTCAACGTGTGAGGATCAAACATTTTCCAATGCTTAGTGATGCAGTTGAGAGGAGTAAGTGACTTTGACTGTGAATTTCCCATGTCTCCATCCAAGGATCTCGACGGGGACCTCCAAAATGATACAGGAAAATAAAAACTCCCAACCTGAGCGATACCTGGGACGAGTTCGTGTTCCCTAAAATCAGAGAATCAATTTTAGGAACAACAGAGGTTAAGAGCAGAATATATTTATTGAGGGAAAGAAAGCTTCTGTCCAAGAGAGGGGCAGAAGGGGGCCTGGGTGGGTTGCTCTGACTTCTTTAATTGTAAAATATAAGATTTATCATTTTAACCATTTTTAAGTCTTCAGTGGCCGTAAGTCCATGCATTTCTGTTGTGTAACCATCACCAACATTTGTCTCTGAAGCGTTTGTATCTTCCCACACTGGAACTGTGTACTTGATAAATAGTAAATAGTCATTCTCCTCGCCCCACAGCCTTGGCTAGAACAATTATGCGTTTTGTTTCTGTCTTCATTTCAGGTGTTTTACATAAGTAGAGTCACACAGTATTTTTTTCTTACTCGTTTCACTTAGCATAATCCTTTAAGCCTCCTCCTCAGTACAGCATGTGTTAGGCTTTTGCATTTCTAAGGCTGGGAAACTGACATCCACCACACATCATGTTTTGTTTGTCCACTGATGGACGTGTGTGTGGTGCCTGAGTGTTGGCTGTTGTGAATAATAGCACTGTGAACACGGGTGTGTAAGTATCTGAGTCCCAACTTGCAGTTTTGGGGGAGCATATTCCCAGAAGTGAAAATGTTGGATTTATTTCACCAGCAGTGCACCAAAAATTCTGTTCCACTTGTGCAATACTGAATTTTTTTTTCATCATCCAGTTGAGATACCTTGAAGACTTAAGGATGCATTCATAGAATGTTAATGCGTAGGTTTACTTGAAGCAAGTTCTATAAGAGATTTGACTACTTCTCTTCTGTAATATTTTTTTCTTTATTTAGGGCTTATGAACATTTGACAGCTATACGATGTTTCTACACAATTTGTACAACCCTGGAATTAATCACTTGGATGATCATTGTTAATATTTAGTACACTTATTCTTGAAGGGTGTATGTATTTATGTGGATGCCTGCATGCATACACACACATATATATATAATTTTGATACTTGTATATATCTGTACATGTGGATTTTTATATAAAATCAGTATTATATTTAGTGTTTATCCTTATTTCAATGTAATATTTATGTCATGAACAGTTTTGTATGTTATTATAGTTCTTTGAAAACATGATTTTAATAACCCATAATTTATTCAACCATTTCCAGGGGCTGGGGGTTTAGCTCAGCGGCAAAAGCGCCTGCCTGGCAAGCGCAAGGTCGTGAGTTCGGTTCCCGGTACCGGAGAAAAACCAAAAAAAAACAAAAAACAAAAAAACAACCATTTCCATATTGTTAAGACATAAATAATACTGGCTTATTTGTATGTATCTCATAGTTACTTTATATTTTGAAATCTTAAAAAGTGATAGACTAATTTTAATAGGTTTGTTGTGGGGGTAAAGAGAGTCAATAAAGGCAGTCTTATTATAACCAATACTAAAAGGAAAATAATTGGTAGATGTTTTTAGGTATGTCAGCTGGTAGATGTTTTAGGTATGATTTCTATTTGTGTTTTTTTTTTTAACAATAAAAAATAAATTGATGTTTTATAATAGGGAAATACTAAAAGTTGCTGATCTTTATGATTTTATAACAATACATGATAAATGGAATAAAAAGTAAGTTGATTTTAAGTAAGTTAATATTTTATAATAGGGAAATACTAAAAGTTTCTGATCTTTATGATTCTATAACAATACATAATAACTTATGTATTAAATAAAAAATTGTAGAATACTTCTATGGGAAGAAGGATATGAATTCCTTATTTTAGCCAGTGTAAATCTGGGGCTCAAATAGATTATGTATTTCACTCATTTATACTCCAAGAAAAGCCATGACTAATACTCATAGCTCTGTAAATGTACTTTCATCCCAGGTGTGTTGCCTCAGGATGAATTACTATCTAGGTTCCTAAACTTAGCTGTATTATCTGACCATCAGTATACTTTATATTAGCTTCTCTGGTTGGAATGGTTAGAGATAATTTAGGCTTCATTAACTGTCCAAACAGATGGGCTACATCTAGCATATTGTTGATTTGTCATACATTTTTATGCATGTAAAAGCTTCAGAAAGGTCACTCCTGTCTGTAGGAACCATATTAAAGTATGCCTTTAAAAAGTCTGAAGACTTACTTAGACACAATTCTGAAGACTGGTGGAGAGTGTGCAGAAAATTCTGTATATGTGTCTTGGTTACTTTTCTCTCGTTGCTGAGACAAAATACCCAA